CAGAAAGTAACCAATGTCCTTTTGGACAGATGGGCACACTAGGCATTATGAAATTAACTTGCTCAAAGTCCCCAATTAAGAAGACTGAGAGTAGAGAGATGTGACTAAGAGATAACGTGATGTGTGTGCAATTTACTCACAGGAGAGTGTAGCTCCTGATGATTTACACCTTCTCAAGGGCTGGCACACACTGCGTTCTCACACAGTGGAACCTCATCCCATGCTTTCCAAGAGTTCTTTTTATCTTACGTTTTCCAAGTGTTCCTTATGTCTTAATGTTTTTCTCTTTGCTAAGACACTTGTAATCCTGGCTTTCCCATCAGTTGACTTACACTTCATATTCAGACTGAATATATTTTATGGGGCTGTCTTCATTATAAGTCAACAGCTTTAAATAATCCACATAGTTCATTGTCTCAGTGATTTCAGATCTAAGAATTTGTTATTATATTTGGTGCTCTCGCTAACCCTCTTTCCTTAGGAAAAAGAAGAAAAAGAAAGAAGGGAGGAAGGAAGAAAGGAAACAGCAAAACTATACTTTAGTTCTTTAGTATATAATATTAAAAGAAAGCAATTTACAAGTTATGCCAGTCACATTTACCCCAACAGGAAATACTATCACTAGCAGCGTAATTTTAAATGCCAGTAAGAGACTATATATTCAAGTGTGGAATAAAAATCTGCATTTAAACAAGATCCCCAGGTCATGCACACACACACTGAAGTTTGAGAAGCTCCACTATATTCAGTATTTATTACATGTTCTTGTCTTCTAGGACACTACTGCTACATAAAGGAGAAGATTTACTGGGACCTGTTCTAAATAGAAACACTGCAGAGCCCACAGTAGGACAGAAGAAAAAAATGAAAACCACTCCAGCTAGCATGTACTGGATGCTAATTCTCGGCAAGGTGCTTTGCAAAGTGATTTACATGCATTTATTAACTGAATCTTCACAACAGTCCTCTAAAAGAGATTCGATTATTATTCTCATTCAAAGATTAAAAAAAAAATTAAGGCTAAGAAAGGCTATAATAAGTAACTTGTCCACATTGACATCCAGAGCTTGAAACCAAGTGAGTCCCTCCCCAATCACATCACACTGCTTTCTCCATGGGTGGAGCTCATATTAGAATGGACATTAAGGCATAAATAAATTACTGATGATTTTAAATCCAAGAAAATCCTAAGAAAAATTCCAACAGGATTTTTTTTCCCATTTCTCCCATCATTCTTTCTTTTTCTTAGTTGAAATTTATTGGAGTACTGTCAGTTTACAATGTTGTGTCAATTTCTGATGTACAGAGTCATGTTTTAGTCATACACATTACATACATATATTCGTTTTCATTAGAGGTTACTATGAGATATTGAATGTAGTTCCCTGTGCTCTACAGAAGAAGCCTGTTGTCTGTCTATTTTACATACAGTAGTTAGTATCCCAACAGGATTTTATTAAACTTGACAAGATATTTGTAACGTTTATACAAAAAAGAAAACGTATGAGTACCATTTCAAAAAATGTTCTGGGGGTAAAAAGTACAAATATATACTACTAGATGTAAGAGCACATCATCAAACTGCAGCATTTAACACAAGTGGTACTAGCAGAAGAAGAGATAAAATAGACCAACAAAACAGAACAGAGTCCTGAAACAGACCCTTGTATAAATAGAAATTTATTTTACTGTAGAAACAAAATTTCAAATGAGTTGGAAAAAAGATGGATGATTAAATAAACGGTATTGGTTCAAGTGCTTAAAACTTTAGAAAAAAGTTACATTTTACTTTTACTTTATATAAAAATCTGATACTTTAAAGAGCTAAATGTAAAAAGCAAAATAATGAAAGTATTAGAAGAAAATAAGATAATTTAAAAAATAATTTTTAGACGAAAAAGACCTTCTTAAGCTGGACAAAACACAGAAATCATGAGATTGCAAAGTTGATTACACAAACATTTAAAACTTCTGTGCCGCCAAAGATAGTTAAAACCAAAAGCATCATAAATAGATAAGCAAAATGTGGTATATGCATACAATGGAATATTATTTAGCCTTTAAAAGGAAGGAAATTCTGACACATGTTCCAACATGGATAAACCTTGAGGACATTTTGCTAAGGGAAATAAGTCAGTCAGAATAAGACAAATACTATATGATTCCTCCACTTGCATGAGGTGGCTGGAGTAGCGAAATGCATAGAGACAGAAAGCAGAACGGTGATACCAGGGGCTGGGCAGAAAGGGAATGGGGAGTGACTGTTTAATGGGTACAGAGTTTCAGTTTTGCAAGATGAAGGGTTCTGGAGATGGATGGTGGTGATGGTTGCACAGCAATATGAATGTACTTAATAACACAGATCTATCTGTACACTTAAAATGATTAAAATGATAAAATTTTACATTATGTATTTTACCACAACAAAATATTTGGGAAAAAAGAGAATTACACTAGGAAAAAATATTTGCTTCAGCTATAACAGACAAAGGATGAAGATTCCGAATACCCAGAGCGCTTCTGCAATCAATAGAAATAAAGGAAAGCAACTCAATAGAAAAGTGAGCGCTGGACATGAACAGGTAAGTCACGGGAGACACACCTGACCCATAAACATTTAGAGATGTTCAACGGCAGTAGTGCAATCGGCACAGTGCAAATTAAAATGCCTTATTGGGCTTCATTCATGTACCAGATTTAAAAACTTAAATTAAAAAAAAAAAGATAATAGCTGGTGTTAGGAAGGATGAGGGAAACTGATTCTCATGCACTGAGTTTAAATTAGTATCTGGGATGGGTCAGTGGTGCAAGCTAAAGGGTTTTTATCTATCATGATGAAGAATGGACAAACTTTTTGACTCAAGAATATCTCTCCTAGGATTCTATTCCACAGAAATACTCAGGCTTAAGCACAAAAATGAAAGCACACTCTTTCCTGAAGTCTTGTTGCTAATGCTGAATGATTTTAAACAACCCAAATGCCCACCAATTAGGGAAAATATTTATCAACAGTTCTACTTTAAACAATAATAAATAAGAAAAAATATTTCTACTTTAGAATAACACATAGCCATTAACAAAAGAGGGACGTACAGATGTGGAAGATCTCTAAGACTTGGGAATGAAAACGTAAGCTGCATGATGATAGTAAGATCTCACTTGCATACACTAAAACATAGTGTATATACATATTATGCCAATGGATAGAAAGAAAAAATATCTTGGAATGGTAGGTGCCCACCTGAACCTTTCTTCTTCTGAGTGGGAGTAGGTGGAACCAAGGTACTTCTACATTTCATTCCATACATATTCGCTTATTATTTGTATGATTTTTAAAACGTAAAATGAAAATACAGACAACCTTGAGTAAATTAATGCTGAAAACCAACAGCAGGTCATGAAAGCAAGGACACAGCTGCTGGAAAAGAAGCGCTCGCTTTATGCAGCTACCAGGAAGCCTGCTTGGAGTGAAAGGTATTTTCACAGTGTTCTATTTGTCTTATATTCCCCCATTTCACATTTTTTGTTTTTCAAATCAAAGTGCACTTCCTCCCCCAGGGAAAGGAGGGCCAGGGATCACTGTTCCTGTAAGTGAGCAAAATGACACTCACTAAGTTTTCCTTCTATCTGAGCCAACAATACTCCAGCCCAGTTCCCGCAAGGATAACACACTCCTTCCTCTTGTCAAATCGCATTACCACCCATCCCTCTTTCAAAACCATGACAGTCTTTCTGATGGGGTGCCTTTTTCAGGACAAAACGGTTACCAGAAACAACAGAGCCTCTGGAACCTCTGTGCACCCCTGTAGGGGTTTCTGGTCTTTGGGGTTAAAGAAACCCAGTGTGTAAGTGTTCTCCGCAGTGTGGCTTCAGTCCCTTTTGGACACCTAAGACCAGCCCTTTTCTCTCAAGGTGGCCTTTGATACAGAAGGCTTAGACACATTTGCTGGGACCACAGGAGGCAGAACTGGAACCACAAGGAGGCAAGTTACAGCTGAGAGTGAGCTCTGTCCAGCAATGAAATGCCAGGTGGTGAGCTTCCTGCCATTGGAGGCATTCTAACAGTACTGAATGCTATCTGGGGAGATGCCAAACTAAGCATGCCCTGAAGATTCTGAGTAGGTAGCTGTGGTTGGAGTCTCGTGCTTTGAAACTCTTCAAGAATGATTCTGAGACACAGAGAAGTTTGGGAACCTCTGGCCAGTATGACCCTTTGGGGCCCATCAGCCTCTAGTCTCTGAGTGCATTTTAAAGCATCCCAGGAGAGAGACAAACTAGGACAATAATGAAGCACAGGAAGGGGGTGGGTGTCACTCCAAAAAGGGTCCTTGAGTTGGGGGCACAACACAGATTATAAGCAGACTCCAAAACCAAATCCTGACTCTGTCCCATGCTAGCTGTGTGACCACAGACAAGTTACTTGACTTCTATGGGCCTCAGTTTTCTCACTGATAAAAAGAGAATGACAAAACTACTACCTACCTAACTGGCGAAGCTTAAACAGCCCAGCATATGTACAGTACTTAGAACAGCGCCTGGTTCATAGTAAGTATGAACCATTATTATTCTACAAAGGAGGAAATGGAGACTGAGGCCATAAATTAACTTGACCCTAACCCCAAAGTCAGTTTAAATTTGGGAATAAGACCCAAAGTATCCTTTCTTCTAGCTCAACTTAAATACACCACATTCAATTCTATCCTATCCTCTGTCTATGATGACGCCTCTTGAGTTGGAGAATAAACTTGCTCAGAGTCTTGCCGGTTAGCTGGCGTCCTCGCTCAGTGGCACCTAGCGCTGTGCCTCCCACCACAGGGGCAGGCAGGCAGGCAGGATGGATGTATGTGTGGGTGAGTGGATGAAGGACAGGCTGGGAAGGGCTCTCTGAGGGGCAAAACCCTGGGCTCCGTGATGCCAGTGCCACCTCGGCCAGCTCTACGGTCTCAGACAAGTTCTTGAACCCCTCCGTGCTTTTTGCCTAGGAGAGATTTGTCTATAAAAAGGTCGGGGGTGGGGCGGTTACAAACGCAAGGCTCCCACCGCTCAACCGGCCAACTCGGTGCCCCTTCCATTCGCGTGGAGTGTGTCCCAGACACCCCCGCATCCCGGGGATTTCCCGCTCTACCTGCGTGAGAGCGCCTCCCACTTCAGGTGTAAGGAGAGAGGGGGTGGAGGAGACCGCCGACTGCAAGAGGAGTGGCTCCGTCAGGTGAGTGGAGGGGACGTGGGAGGCGGTTGGGGACAGCAATGAACTCCCATGGTGGAGTGCTGGGAGAGAGGCCAAAGTTGAGCAAATGGGAATTGTAACTCAACAAACATTCCCCGACTACCAGAGACAGGGGCGGCGGGGCGGCGAACGGGAAAGCAGGGTAGGGGCCGCCGCGGTGGCCCCGGCAGCGTGCGCTCTGGAGAGAATTAGCATCCCTGCGTTACGCACCAGGTAGGCGGGCCTCGGGCGAGACCCCTCAAAGCGCCGTCTCCGGGCAGAGGGAACCCCCGAGCCAAAGGCGCGGGGCTGAGGCGGCGCCGAGCAGAGGAGCAGGCGGCTGAGCTCCGGTCCGCGTCCAGCCCGGAAGGGCCGGCAAAGGTGTAGGGTTCTTCCCCGTGTCCCCGGGGTTCGCC